CTTGATGTTCTTTGTCAATTTTGATGTAGAGATTGACTGGTTTGCCTACTCTGGAACATGCAACATATTATTGTCCTTCTTTAGGGGTCCCTTTCAAATCTATGATACTATATCTCTCTTTGTGTGAATCATATATATATCTATATCTATGGCTGGATGGCTCTTTGTCAGGAGGGCTTTGATTACGTTTTCTTGCCCTGGTGAAGGGAGTTGGACTGGATGGCCTTAAGTATTTTCTGTTGGTCATGGGGGTTCTGTTTGGGAATTTTCCCCAATTCTGTCATTGGTGGGGTTCAGAATGCTCTTTGATTGTAGGTGAACTATAAATCCCAGTAACTACAACTCCCAAATGTCAAGGTCTATTTCCCCAAACTCCACCTGTGTTCATATTTGGGTATATGGAATATTCGTGCCAAGTTTGGTCCAGACCCATCATTGTTCGAATACAATTCCCAAACTCAAGGTCAATGCCCACTAACCCCTTCTAGTGTTTTCTGATAGTCATGGTAGTCCTGTGTGCCCCGTTTGGTTCAATTCCATCATTGGTGGAGTTCAGAATGCTCTTTGATTGTAGGTGAAATAAATCCCAGCAACTACAACTCCCAAATGACAAAATCAATTTTTTGAGTGATGGTCACTACTTGGGTTAGTAGGTGTCTTGTGTCCAAATTTGGTGTCAGTTCGTCTAGTGGTTTTTGAGTTATGTTAATCCCACAAACTGGGTTGTTGTAGGTTTTTTCAGGTTATATGGTCATGTTCTAGAGGCATTCTCTCCTGACGTTACGCCTGCATCTATGGCAAGCATCCTCAGAGGTAGTGAGGCCTCAGGCCCTTTCCTTTTCCCTCTCAGCTGCTTAAGTGGCTGAGGGGGAAAAGGAAGGGAGACGGATGCCTCACTACCTCTGAGGATGCTTGCCATAGATGCAGGTGAAACGTCAGGAGAATGCCTCTAGAACATGGCCATATAGCCCAAAAACCTACAGCAACCCAGTGATTCCGGCCATGAAAGCCTTCGACAATACAACAAACATTATGTTTTTATTTCTATAGATACACAAATATATACACAAAACACATATGCACATACTGGGCCACAGCAACATGTGGCAGGGGACGGCTAGTAAATAAATAAAGTTGATTTCTTCCCTGCCTGACCTGACAGCTCAAATGGGAATCTCATGCTCACCTTGATTTTGGCCAGGTAATTCCACCCCAAAAGGTGAGCATGAGACTGGTGTCGAGAGGGAATGTTGTGCTTTGGCTAAACATGCCTGTTCTGGAACAGCTGTTCCAGGAGCTCCAGATTTATTTGCTGTGTTTGCATGTTTGTGTGCAATCCCATGCTTGGGATTTGTAGCAGGGGGTTTCCTGTTATAATTTGCATTTATAGGGTAAGCCACCTGCCAGTTATAGTTAGGTTCCCTGATCCCGCCCCTTTTTGAGTTTTGGAGGGAAAAAAACCATTTTGAGTTAGTTCTCACAGAGAAGCCTTTCGCACAGGACATAGAACGAAGTGGCTCCTGTAGAAAAGCTTCGTCTTTTACAGCTTGGCCGGGGTTATACAGCCCTACGGCTTGGCCAGGAGACATACAGCCACAGCTTGGCTGAGGGACTCCAGCCGGCCATCACAGCAACCTGAACTCCTTCTTTTTCCCTGGAGGTCTACAAAGCTCTGTTGAGGCAAGGGTCACTCGCGGAAGCCAGACGCAGTTGGTACCGGGTGCAGGGGCTCCACGTCAACAGAGGCAAGTACAGACTGCCCAGATTAGAAGCTAGGATTTCCCCATCAGTTAGTTACAGTTAAGAAGACAGTGCCTGTTCCTAGTGGACAAGATTTGAAAGAGCCTATAGACTGTTAAGAAAACCGTTAAAGTACCTGTTTGTTCCTGTTTGTTCCTTAATAAAAGAACTTTGTTGGACTTACTTTAAGCATTCTAAAGACTCTGTTTGGGGGAATCTAAGGGCCTTTATTCTGAGGCAGCCCCGGCGTCCCGTTGGGCACACAGAATTTATGTCCTGTGTACAGTCTAATGTACAGGCCCAGCGTGCGACAGCACAGGCTGAGACTGGCTTCCTTCCAGGCAGGTTCCTTGGGAATGGAGACTTGGAGGAAGTGGAGGCCAAGTGGAATATCTGGAATATCTTTGGGCCGAACAGGATGTTTCTCTCTGGAGACAGGAAGGGAGGAAGAGGAAGAGCCGGCCTGGCCTCCCTTTTACTTTCTAGAAGGTGTTTTCTTCCCTCCAGCAAACAGGAAACCGCCTCACCTGAAAAAGGAGATGTCACAATATTTGAAAATATATACAGTTCCTCCTTTGAATGCCTTATTTTTTTGTTTTGTGTGGCACTTCACGTTGAGACCTTGAATTTTGCAATTTTTCCATGCGCAGGCCAAAGAAACAAAAGTTTTTGCAGTTTAATACATTTCCCCCCGTGTTTTTAAATGATAGAACCCAATTAAGGAATGATGACATTTATAAATCCCAAATTCAAAAATTAGATGGCATTATATTATGCTGGATCTACACTGCCATATACAATCCAGATTATAATGTGCTTTGAAGTGGATTATCTGGCAATGTAGATTCATATAATCCAGTCGAGAGCAGATAATGTGGATTATCATCTTTGATAATCTGGATTATCTGGCAGTGTACACTCCTATAATCTAGTTCAAAGCAGATAATGTGGATCATATTTGATAATCTGGATTATCTGGCAGTGTACACTCCTATAATCCGGTTCAAAGCAGATCATGTGGATTATCATCTTTGATAATCTGTATTTTCTGGCAGTGTAACTCATATAATCCATTTCAAAGCAGATAATGTGGATTATCATCTTTGATAATCTGGATTATCTGGCAGTGTAGATTTATGTAATCCAGTTCGAAGTAGATAATGTGGATTATCATCTTTGATAATCTGGATTATTTGGCAGTGTAGACTTATATAATCCAGTTTGAAGCATATAATGTGGATTATCATCTTTGATAATTTGGATTATCTGGCAGTGTACACTCCTTTAATCCGCTTCAAAGCAGATAATGTGGATTATATTTGATAATCTGAGTTATCTGGCAGTGTACGCTCATATAATTCGCTTCAAAGCAGATTGTACACTCATATAATCTGCTTCAATAATAATCTTTGATAATCTGTACTATCTGGCAGTGTAGAATTTATATAATCCACTTCAATGCAGACAATGTGGATTATCATCTTTGATAATCTGGATTATCTGGGAGTGCAGTCTCATATAATCCAGTTCAAAGCAGATAATGTGGATTATCATATTTGATAATCTAGATTATTTGGCAGTGTAGACTTGTATAATTCAGTTCAAAGCAGATAATGTGAATTATCTTTGATAATCTGGATTGTTTGGCAGTGTAGACTTATATAATCCACTTCAAAGCAGATAATGTGGACTATCATTTTTGATAATCTGGATTATCTGGCAGTGTAGACCCAGCCTGAGCCTGCACTGCCATGTAATCCGGTTGCTGAATTTAGATTACTTGCCTTGAACCGGATTATATGAGTCTACACTGCGCTCCAGATTATCTGCATTGAACCGGATTATAGGGCAGTGTAGACTCATATAATCCAGTTCGATGCAGACAATCTGGATTCAGACACCGGATGACGAGTCAGCGTAGGCTCAGGCTGGATCTACACTGCCATATAGTCCAGATTATCAAAGCAAATAATCTACACAATCTTTTTCGTACTGGATTATATGAGTCTACATTGCCAGATAATCAAAGATGATAATCCACATTATCGGCTTTGAACTGGATTATATATAAGTCTTCACTGCCAGATAATCCAGATTATAAAAAATGATAGTCCACATTATCTGCTTTGAACTGCATTATATGAGTTACACTGCCAGATAATCCAGAGTATCAAAGATGATAATCCAAATTGTCTGCATTGAAGTGGATTATATAAATTCTACACTGCCAGATAATCCAGATTATCAAAAATTATAATCCACATTATATGATATGCGTCAAACTGGATTATATAAATCTACTCTGCCTAATAATCCAGATAATACACATTGTGGACAATCCCCTTCAAAGCAGATTATAATCTGGATTATAGGGCAGTGTAGATTTATATAATCCAGTTAAGAGCATGGGGCCGAAGTTACCGCGGGGCGAAAGCGCCCTAACTCCTCCTCCCTCCCTCCCCGTCCACTCCGGATCCACTCTCTCCGGATCCACTCCGGATTATATGGTAGTGTAGACTCACATAATTCAGTTCAAAGCAGATGATGTGAATTATTTGCTTTGATAATCTGGATTATATGGCAGTGTAGATCCAGCTGGAGTCTACGCTGCCATGCAATCCGGATTTCGGAATCCAGATTATCTGCTCATAACTGGATAATATGAGTCTACATTGCCCTATAATCGAGATCATAATCTGCTTTGAAGTGGATTATAGGGCTGTGTAGACTCATATAATCCATTTCAGAGCAGATAATGTGGATTATCTGCTTGGATAATCTGGATGACATGGCAGTGTAGACCCAGTCTGATCCTACACTGCCATGTAGTCCGGTTTCTGGATGCAGATTACCTGCCCTGAACCGGATTATATGAGTCTACACTGACAGATAATCCGGTTCAATGCAGATAATCTGGATGCAGAAACCACTGCTCACGCTGGATAATCCAGATGATCCAAGTAGATAATCCACATAATCTGTTTCGAACTGGATTATACGAGTCTACACTGCCACATAATCCGGATTATCCAAGCAGATAATTCGATTCAAAGCAGATAATCAGGATTCAGGAACTGGATTCCATGGCAGTGTAGACGGGGCCGAAGTTAGCGCGGGGCGAAAGCGCCCTAACTCCTCCCTCCCCGTCCACTCCGGATCCACTCTCTCACTCCGGAGCAAGGGAGGCGGGCCTTGGCGTGTCTTGCCGTGTCCCTCTCCCCATTGGCCGCCCGCCCTGCCACTCCACGCACTTCCTTCCTCGTGGGCGGGGGCGAGGGGAAGGGAGCGCGAGTGGGCAGCCCGGAGGAAAAGTTTCCCGGGAGTTGGGTCCGGGCTCCGGATCGAGGAAAGGAAAGGGGCGCGGGGGGCTCCTCTTGAGGAAGGGGCCCGCCATGGAGCCGGCGCCCACTCCCACTCTCACTCCCACGCAGCCCCTCCCCGCCCCGCCGCCGCCCTCCTCCTCCTCCTCCTCCTGGTCCTCCTTCCCTTCTTCTTCTTCTTCTTCTTCCTCTCCTCCTCCTCCTCCCTCGGGGGTCTCTTCTTCTTCCTCCTCCTCTTCCTGCGGCGTGTCCTTCCACCTCCAGATCGGCCTGACCCGCGAGTCCGTGCTCCTGCCCGCCGCCTCCGAGCTCGCCCACGTCAAGCAGCTCGCCTGCTCCATCGTGGACCAGAAGGTCAGCCGGGAAGGAAGGAGGGAAGAGGGGAAGGGGAAAGAGGGAAGGGAAAGGAGGAAAGACTGGCTCAGAAGGGGAGGATGAGGAGCAAGGGAAGGAAGTGCGAGAGGCCACCCCAAAGAAGTCCCCAAAGTGTCCCAAAGGGGATGGAAAAGGAAGGAAGAGAGGAAGGAAGGAAAGAGGGAAGGGAAGAGGGAGGGAAAGACTAGCTCAGAAGGGGAGGATGAGGAGCAAGGGAAAGAAGTGGCAAAGGCTCCTCCAAAGAAGTCCTCAGAGTGTCTCAAAGCTGATGGGAAGGAAGGAAGAGGGAGGAAGGGAGGAAAGAGGGAAGAGGGAGGGAAAGACAGGCAAAAGGAGGATGAGGAGCAAGGGAAGGAAGGGGCAAAAGACACCCCAAAGACTTCAAAGTGCCCTGATGGAAAAGGAAGGAAAGAGGGAAGGGAAGAGGGAGAAAGAGGGAAGGGAAAAGGGAAAGGAGGATGAGGAGCAAGGAAGGAAAGGGCAAAGGCCACCCCAAAGTCTTCAAAGTGTTCCAAACTTGATGGAGAAGGAAGGAAGAGAGGGAGGAGAAAGGGAAGAGGGAAGGGAAGAGGGAGGGAAAGACAGGCAAAAAGACTGGATCAGAAGAGAGGATGAGGTGCAAGGAAAAGACGTGAAAGTGTCCCAAACCTGATGGAAAGGAGGGAAGGAAAGAGAGAAAGACATATAGAAAGAGTGGATCAGAAGGGGAGGATGAGGAACAAGGGAAGGAAGCAACAAAGGCCCCTCTAAAGTGTCCCAAACTTGATGGGAAAGAGGGAAGGAAGGAGGGAGGGAAAGAAAGAAAGAAAGAAAGAAAGAAAGAAAGAAAGAAAGAAAGAGGGAAAGAGAGAAAGACTGGTTCAGAAGTGGAGGATGAGGAGCAAGGAAGGAAGTGGCAAAGGCCACCCCAAAGAAGTCCTCAAAGTGTCCCAAACTTGATGGAAAAGGAAGGGAGTGAGGAAGGGAGGAAGAAGAAAGAAAGAAAGAGGGAAAGAGAGAAAGACTGGTTCAGAAGTGGAGGATGAGGAGCAAGGGAAGGAAGTGGCAAAGGCTCCTCCAAAGAAGTCCTCAAAGTGTCCCAAACTTGATGGAAAAGGGAGGGAGGGAGGGAGGGAAGGATAAGAGGGAGGGGAAAGGGGAAAGACAGGCAAAAGGAGGATGAGGAGCATGGGAAGGAAGGGGCAAAAGACACCCTAAAAAAGTCCCCAAAGTGTCCCAAACTTGATGGAGGAAGGGAGGGAGGGAGGAAGAAAGAAAAGGGAAGGAAGGAAGGAGAGGGAAGGAAGGAGAGGGAAGGAAGGAGAGGGAAGGAAGGAAGGAAGGAAGGAAGGAAGGAAGGAAGGAAGGAAGGAAGGAAGGAAGGAAAGGAGGAAGGAAAGAGAGAAGGAAGGAAGGATGAAGAAGTCCCCAAAGTGTCCCAAAGGTGATGGAAAAGGAAGGAAGAGAGTGAGGAAGGGAAAAGAGAGGGAAAGAGAGAAAGGCAGAAAGACTGTCTGAGAAGGGGAGGATGAGAAGCCAAGGAAGGAAGTGGCAAAGGCCACCCCAAAGTCTTCAAAGTGTCCCAAAGCTGATGGAAAAGGAAGGAAGGAAGAAAGGAAGGGAGTGAGGAAGGGTGGAAGGAAGATAAGAGGGAAGGAAAGGGGAAGGGAAAAGAGGAAAGGAGGATGAGGAGCAAGGGAAGGAAGGGCAAAGGCCACCCCAAAGTCTTCAAAGTGTCCCAAGCTTGATGGAAAGGAAGGAAGAGAGGGAGGAAGGAGGGAAGGGAAGAGGGAGGGAAAGAGGAAAGACAAAGAAAGGAAGGAGAGGAGCAAGGGAAGGAAGGGCAAAGGCCACCCCAAAGTCTTCAAAGTGTCCCAAAGCTGATGGAAAGGAAGGAAGAGAGGGAGGAAGGAGGGAAGGGAAAGGGAGGGAAAGAGAAAGGAAGACTGAAAAGAAGCAAAAGGAGGTTGAGGAGCAAGGGATGGAAGTGGCAAAGGCCCACCCCAAAGTCTTCAAAGTGTCCCAAAGCTGATGGAAATGGAAGGAATGGAAGAGAGGGAGGAAAGGGGAAGGAGGAAGAGGGAGGGAAAGGAAAGACAGGCAGATAGACTGGTTCAGAAGGGGAGGATGAGGAGCAAGGGAAGGTAGTGGCAAAGGCCCCTCCAAAGAAGTCCCCAAAGTGTCCAACCTGGTGGGAAGGAAGGAGGAAGGGAAGAAGGAGGGAAGGAAGGAAGGAAAGAGGGAGAGAAAATGGGGAAAGACAGGCAGAAGGAGGATGAGGAGCAAGGGAAGGAAGTGGCGAAGTCCTCTAAGTGTCCCAAAATTGAGGGAAAGGAGTTAAGGATGAGGCACAAGAAAAATAGGAGACATAGAACCCCAAAGTCCTCAAAACATCCCAAAACTGATGGAAAGGATGGCTGGAAGGAAGGAAGGAAGGAAAGAAAGAGGGAGGGAGGGAATGAGAGAAAGATAGATGGACAGATAGAAAGACTGGTTCAGAAGGTCTGCTTTGCTCATTTAAGGTAACAACCACTGGAATAAACTACTGCAAAGTTGGATGGTAGTGTGTCCTCCCATTGGTCCATGCTACTTTTGGTCCAGGTTCATAATTGTTTGAGTCCACAGGGCTCTCTGGATGTAGGTGAACTACAACTCCCAAACTCAAGGTCAATGCCCACCAAACCCTTCCAGTATTTTCTGTTGGTCATGGGACTTCTGTGTGCCAAGTTCAGTTCAATTCCATTGTTGGTGGAGTTCAGAATGCTGTTTGATTGTAGGTGAACTATAAATCACAGCAACTACAACTCCCAAATGCCAAGGTCTATTTTCCTCAAACTCTACCAATGTTCACATTTGTGCATATTGAGTATTTGTGCCAAGTTTGGTCTAGATCCTTCATTGTTTGAGTCCACAGTGCTCTCTGGATGTAGGTGAACTACAACTCCCAAACTCAAAGTCAATGCCCACCAAACCCTTCCAGTATTTTCTGTTGGTCATGGGAGTTCTGTGTGCCAAGTTTGCTTCAATTCCATCATTGGTGGAGTTCAGAATGCTCTTTGATTGTAGGTGAACTATAAATCCCAGCAACTACAACTCCCAAATGTCAAGGTCTATTTTCCCCAAACTCCACAAGTGTTCACATTTGGGCATATTGAGTATTCATGCCAAGTTTGGTCCAGATGTAGGAGAACTACAACTCCCAAACTCAAGGTCAATGCCCACCAAACCCTTCCAGTATTTTCTGTTGGTCATGGGAGTTCTGTGTGTCAAGTTTGGTTCAATTCCATTGTTGGTGGGTTTCAGAATGCTCTTTGATTGTAGGTGAACTATAAATCCCAGCAACTACAACTCCCAAATGTCAAGGTCTATTTTCCCCAAACTCCACCAGTGTTCACATTTGTGCATATTGAGTATTCCAAGTTTGGTCCAGATCCATCATTGTTTGAGTCCACAGTGCTCTGGATGTAGGTGAACTACAACTCCAAACCTCAAGGTCAATGCCCAACTAACCCTTCCAGAATTTTCTGTTGGTCAATGGAGTGTTGTGTGCCAAGTATGGTTCAATCCTATCATTGGTGGAGTTCAGAATGCTCTTTGATTGTAGGTGAACTATAAATCCCAGCAACTACAACTCCCAAATGACAAAAACACCCCCCACCTTCAAATGGGGGTGTATCGGGTATTTGTGCCAAATTGGTCCAGTGAATGAAAATACATCCTGCATATCAGATATTTACATTACAATTCATAACAGGAGCAAAATGACAGTTCTGAAGTAGCAACGAAAATAATGTTATGGTTGGGGGTCACCACAACATGAGGAACTGTATTAAGAGGTCGCGGCATTAGGAAGGTTGTGTAACACTGAGCTAAGGTGTTGTCGGACTGTCTTCACTGGACGGTGTAGGCCTGAATGTGAATATTTTTGCGGGGGGAAAGGAGCGGAAAGGGCTTTGGAGAGGCTGTCCGCTCTGCTCAGGAAAGGGAAGCGCTCCTGGTCCCGAAAGCGGACGAGAGATAATCGCCGGGAAGGATAGGAGCCGCCCTCGTCCACATCCTTTGGCCAGACGGATGGCGGAAACCCAGACGCCTTGTCTGCAGGATAATGCGAGGGAGGGTTTGGGTTGTTTGGTGGATATCAATATTTATACGCACTGCCTCTCTATAATTTCAGTCTTCTGTTTGCATTGTAGATTTGTCTCCACATTTCCATAATTTTGGGTACTTTTGGGGACTACAATTCCCAGCATCCCCATAAGGGGACCAGCCCCCCAAAAGCCATATTATGGGACCATTATGTCAATATTAATCCACATTGCTTCTCTCTAATTTAAGTGTTCTGTTCACATAGTAGATTTGTCTCCACATTTCCAAAATTTGAGTATTTTGGGGGACTACAATTCCCAGCATCCCCATAAGGGGACCAGCCCCCCAAAAGTCACATTATGGTACCATGATGCCAATATTAATACGCATTGCTTCTCTATAATTTCAGTGTTCTGTTTGCATTGTAGATTTGTCTCCACATTTCCAAAATTTAGGGTACCTTTGGAAATGCTAGAACTACAATTCCCAGCATCTCCAAAAAGCCACATTATGGGACCATGATGGCAATATTAATACGCATTGCTTCTCTCTAATTTCAGTGTTCTGTTAGCATTGTAGATTTGTCTCCACATTTCCAAAATTTTGGGTACTTTCTGGGACTACAATTCCCAGCATCCCCATAATGGGATCAGTCTCCCAAAAAGCCACATTATGGGACCATGATGTCAATATTAATACACATTGCTTCTCTATAATTTCAATATTCCATTCACATACTAGATTTGTCTCCATATTTCCATAATCTGGGTACTTTTGGGAACTACAATTCCCAGCATCCCCATAATGGGACCAGCCCCCAAAAAGCCACATTATGGGACCATGATGTCAATATTAATACGCATTGCTTCTCTCTAATTTCAGTGTTTTGTTTGCACTGTAGATTTGTCTCCACA